TTCTTCACATTTGTAGGGTTTCTCTCCAGTATGAATTATCTTATGTGTAGTAAGGTGTGAGGACCGGTTAAATGCTTTCCCACATTCTTCACATTTGTAGGGTTTCTCTCCAGTATGGATTCTCCTGTGTGTAGTAAGGGTTGAGAACCAGTTGAAGGCTTTGCCACAATCTTTACATTGGTAGGAATTCTCTGTAATATGATTTATTTTATGTTGGGTTAGGTGTAAGAGCATACAAAATGATTTTTCACATTTTTTACATTTGAAAGATTTCTTTCCAGTATGTCTTATCTTAAGTCTGTTTGAATTTGAAAATTTCCGAAAGACTTTCACATATGGCTCACACTGAAATATGTTACTCCGGGTAGTTGTCAAACGCTGGTTTAGTTTGTTATAATCTCCTTTGCGCACCTTACACTCATCCACACTTTTACACCCTTTTCTTAACTGTAAATTCTCAGGTCCACATTTTCCATATTTTTTCAGTAGCACTTCTTGAAAAGAATCTGTTATGTCCTGCTCTGGCCAAAGGTCTTGGGCAAAATTAGAACACAGAACTGAAAGAAATAAAAATAACAAATTACTTACTAGACACAGGTAAATATCTAACTATAGTATTATACAAACTACATAAACAAGATGGCATAGGAAAATACCAAAGGCCCTAATTCCTTTATAGACATATAAAAGTAACAAAAAATTACTAACCAAAATTTATAAATGAGTTAAGTGTGTGAAGTGCCTGTGGTTAGAACAATGCAAAGAGCCACTTAAAGTAAAAGTCTGTGTAATCCTAGCACTTTGGGAGGTTGAGGCAGGTGGATCACCTGAGGTCAGGAGTACAAGACCAGCCTGGCCAACATGGTGAAACCCCATCTCTATTAAAAAAAAAAAAAAAAAAAGTAAACGTCTGTTACATTTACCCAACAGAGCTCTTCCTGCTCCCCAATATAACATAGTATCTTTAGAAGTAAATTGCCAACTTTTTTTTTTTTTTTTGTGATGGAGTCTCGCTCTTGTTGCCCAGGCTGGAGTGCAGTGGCACAATCTTGGCTCACTGCAACCTCCACCTCCCAGGTTCAAGTGATTCTCCTGCCTCGGCCTCCCCAGTAGCTGGGATAACAGGTGCCCACCACCATGCCCAGCTAATTTTTGTATTTTTAGTAGAGATGGGGGTTTTGCCATGTTGACCAGGCTGGTCTCGAATTCCTGACCTCAGGTGATCCACCTACCTCAGCCTCTCAAAGTGCTGGGATCACAGGCATGAGCCACCACACCTGGTGCCAACTTTTTTTAAATGACAAGTAAAATACTGGCACATTCATCGTTATTACTTGCTTCCAGGAGTCTTTCCTGACACTGGTTTGTGTCTCCCATGAAATATGATGCTGAGAGAAATTGTGGTATAGTTTGGAATGACAGTTTAAGTTTGTTGAGACCCAAAGGTAAACATTACAGCACTAGAGAAACTGCAGTACCACAGACAGAAAACAGGTGTAGCACGTGATTACTATTAATAAGAAACACGAATAAACTCCTTTAACTAAAAAATAAAGACAAAATTTCAGATAAGACACATTCTAAGAACATGTTTGAGAGACTCTCAAAATCTCTAACCAAGACACTTGTTCAGACTATGCCAGGACAAATCTACATTATAAAGATTGTGACAGGTGGCTTTCTTTAATGTCCAAATTTCAATCAAAGATGACAATGTATACAAAACAATACAATATGGTTGCACAAAAATATAAAATTTTGGCTGACCGCAGTGGCCTATGCCGTGGGGCTTTGAGAGGCCACGGGAGAGCTGATCGCTCTAACTCGGGAGTTTGAGACAAGACTGGTGAACACAGCAAAACCCTGGCTCTCCAAAAAAATATATGTAAATAAAAGTAAACTAGCTGGGTGCGAGGGCACATTGTTACAACCCAGCTAGTTGAGAAGGTGAAATGAGTCATCTGAGTTTGGGAGGTTAAGGCCACAGTGAGCTATGATCACGCCACTGCAAACCAGTTTGATTGGCAAAGTGAGACTCCATCTCAAAAATAAATGTTTATAAAAAAAAAATAAGATGCTCGAGTGGCTTACGTAAAAAAGCGTGCAATATGCTGTCTATGAGTGATGCATTTTAGCCCTGAGTGAAATAAGCTGAAAGTAACAGAATGGAAAGAAGCTATATTTCAGGAAAATAGTCCCTATGATTGGGTGAGGTAGTAATAACTACATTAAATATAATATGCTTTGAATCAAATCACAGCATGAGACAAACACTGATATTATATAATGGCCAAATGGGTCAATTGACCAGGAATCTATAACTCTTGTATCTATTTATTTATATATATATTTATATACAACATCAGGGCTCCAAAATATATAAAGCAAATTTTGGGAAAGGTGAAACAAAAAATACATCACAACAGATAACTATAGACATCAAGACCCCATTTGCCATAATAAATAGAAAATGTAGTGCCGGGCGCGGTGGCTCACGCCTGTAATCCCAGCACTTTGGGAGGCCGAGGCGGGTGGATCACGAGGTCAAGAGATCGAGACCATCCTGGTCAACATGGTGAAACCCCGTCTCTACTAAAAATACAAAAAAAAAACATTAGCTGGGCATGGTGGCGCGTGCCTGTAATCCCAGCTACCCAGGAGGTTGAGGCAGGAGAATTGCCTGAACCCAGGAGACGGAGGTTGCGGTGAGCCGAGATCGCGCCATTGCACTCCAGCCTGGGTAACAAGAGTGAAACTCCGTCTCAAAAAAAAAAAAAAAAAAGAAAATGTAGATAAAAGATCAATGACATTATAGACTTATTAACCATTCTGTATATAGAGAAATACCTGAGAGTGTATAACTTATTGAGAAAAAATGTTTACTTTGCTCACAGTTCATTAGACTGTATAGAAAGTATGTGCCAGTTTCTGCTTCTAGTGACAGTCTCAGAAAACTTACAGTGGAAGGCAAAGAATAACTGAACATATCACGTGGTAAGAGAAAGAGCAAGTATGAGGTGAAAAAGCCAGGTTCAGGCTGGGCATGGTGGCCCAAGCCTGTAATTCCAGCACTTTGGGAGACCGAGGGGCGGATCACCTGAGGTCAGAAGTTTGAGAACAGCCTGACCAATGTGGTGAAATCCTATCTCTTGGTCCCAGTTACCCAGGAAAAAAAAAAAGAAAGAAAGAAATCCCATCTCTACTAAAAAACTACAAAAATTGGCTAGGTGTGGTGGCAGGTGACTGTAGTCCCAGCTACTTGGGAGGCTGAGGCAAGAGAATCGCTTGAACGTGGGAGCGAGAGGTTACGGTGAGCCATGATTGCACCGTTGCCCTCCAGCCTGGGCAACAGAGCAAAACTCCATCTCAAAAAAAAAAAAAAAAAAAAA